GACTGGGCATTGATTGCAGCCATTCAGTCAGTATTATCCTGACACAAATTCTACAGCAATGACTGGGCATTGATTGCAGCCATTCAGTCAGTATTATCCTGACACAAATTCTACAGCATTTTCAGAGTATTCAACGGGAGACATTCTTAAATTGTTTGTGAACAAGTTGGTTATATTGCTGGACTTGAAGGATGAAATGTTGGAGTGTGCAATACAAAGAATTTGCTCTGAACATTATGAGGAAATATGCGAACTAGATTTAATCATTTTAATATTGATATTGAGCGTTGTATAATTTTCTTCCTCGAAGAAGGTCTTGTTATTCGAATACATCGAATATATCAAATATATCGAATATATCGAATAGATCGATAGAAACAAGGCAAGTTGTTCGTGATCATAAGTGCATGCAGACCTAGCATCCGGTAAAATATACATTGCTATCTCTCTCTCGACTACTCTATACTCGACTCTGCATGTCATAACTCAATGGAATCTCTTCAACGCACAAACATTATACTCTGCGGAGTTGTTGAATCAATATTGTATACTTCGGCAGGAGTTATTTCTTTTTACAAGTTTCATTCAGCACTTGAAGATTTTTATGAATAAATTTTGCGTTTTTTAATGAGTCGAACAGCGTTGTCAGTTGCCATACAGTGTCCCTTGCTGGTGTACAGTGTTCCTTGCTGGTGTACAGTGTTCCTTGCTGGTGTACAGTGTTCCTTGCTGGTGTACAGTGTTCCTTGCTGGCGTACAGTGTTCCTTGCTGGTGTACAGTGTTCCTTGCTGGTGTATGCGAATAAAAAAATCAGATTACCGACAAATATTACAATGAACTACGACGTTTCGAATATATTATTCATTATCAAGTAATTGAAGGGTTTTAGCTAATAACATTGAAGTGTTAAAATTACATTACTACCAAGAGACAGCATTGTGGCGAGAATTTCAAATTTAAAACTTAAAAGTCTTTACAGTGATGTAAACTTTCTTACCTTACAGTTTCCCTGTAAAAGTTCTACAAAGTTTTTACAGTCGTATACACTTAATTAATGTAAAGCTCATAGAATACTTGGTGCAGTAAAGTTTAAGCTCCTAAGTAATGTAATATGAGTTGGACACGACGTTGCTCCTACGTCACGGTATTCAATATGGGACACGGTATTGTGACTCGTTATGGCCGTGCACCAGCTCAGGAGTATGCAGCTCACGCCACATACACGTCAGCAGGAGTATGCAGCTCGTGACTGTATACACTGTATATGTTCGTCTGACAGTGTATATACACTGTATATACACTGTCGTGACTGTATAAATGTTCGTGAAAAATTGAAACAATTGCCTATACTGATCAGGAATTGATTGCACCTATACGAAGTTATTCATCGAATATTCTTTTCAGAGCGACAGTTGAACAGCTTCAAAAAGATTAATAATAGTCATGCTAGAAATACGTGGAATTGAATTGAATGCCACTTTGATTTCATCCATTAATATTTCTTTTGAGGCCTATTGCTCACGGCTTTAAATCATAAACCCCCATTGAGCATTTTGAAGGGAGATGAGAAATTGATTGCGACCATGCGACTAAAGAATCTATTCATCGAATATTCTTTTCAAAGCCACAGGTGAACAGCTTCAAAGAAAATATAGATAGGAGTAGTCATGCTAGAACAATACGTTGAATGAAACTGAATGTCACTTTGATTTATTCCATTAATTTTCTTTTGAGGCCTAAAGCTCAGGGCCGTGAATCTCAAGCCCCGTGGGGCATATAACCCCGCGGCGGGCGCTGCTGGGCTCAGTGCTGCTGCTGCGGTCCAAGTCTCAACAAGGAAAACTCTGCAAATCTGTAGGTATATTCGTGCTATTATTATTGTACATTATGCAATATTAAGATAAATCTACGTATTCGTTGGCTAATATTAACCCATGTCTTGAGTTAAAATGTTTAAGGAATTTCTGTGAAAATATTAAGTACAATTTCCCAAAGTCTGATTTGTTGTGATCCTGCAGCGCCATGAAGCTGATGATGCTGATGCTGGTGCTGCTGGGCGCCGCCTACACCGCCGAGGTATAGCAACGCTTACTGTACAGTTTAGCTAAAATAAACAACATATCATGAATTTATCCGTGTAATATCGGACCTTTAAATTAACTTATGTCCTGCGCAGGGAGCTGAGAACCTAAGATCGGTACGTAGCTCATATAACAAAGAGAGTTCATTGGAGTGCAGTGGTATTCTACGTGCATATTTATAGATCATGATTTCTACAAGCGCATTTCCTTTTAAAATTTAATTAGCATACTATTGTGTTTTTTACATGGCCGGTCGTCCGGTGCACTTTCTGCTCAACAATATACCACATTTTCCACACTGCCGATCAATAATTGACTTTTAAAGGCTAGGATAGAAGCATAAAAGTCGTCTGATTCACTGAAGCAAATTATCTCTCTTGTGTTCCAGGCGACAGGAGAAGTCCCGGAGTCACGGCAGACCAGTGAGTTATTATTAGTAAATATATCATAAGAAACATTACGTTATAATATTAGGCCTTTTTGTGGCTGGTTGTTGCACTTGAGGATTTTGGAAAGGTACTACATATACCTGCTCTTTATGGAAGCTGGTATCTTGATGGAACAACAGCTTTTAGTCTAATGAAGCACTTTCGGTTAGCACTTTTATGTCCTTATGTTTGTGCAACAATTAAATTATAATATTTACTCTGCTTAGTATTGAATCAGGAATATAGAACGAACACTAAAAATTTTATTTAAATATTCTTCCATACAAATGTATAAGTGAGCTCCCCTTTTTATATAATTGCCTTACACCATTTTAGCGAAGAGCTTATTGCGTAATTATAGATTATCATCTAATTGAAGCGTTGACCAAAATTGATAAAACAATTTATATTTACAATATAAAATAATGCAATTGTTATAATGATATAACAATTTTTATATATTGCCACAGCCTCTGAACAATGATATAACATTTTCTATATATTGCCACCGCCTCTGAACAATGATATAAAAATTTTTATATATTGCCACAGCCTCTGATCAATGATATAAAAATTTTTATATATTGCCACAGCTCTGAACAATGATATAACAATTTCTATATATTGCCACAGCCTCTGAACAATGATATAACAATTTCTATATATTGCCACAGCCTCTGATCAATGATATAACAATTTCTATATATTGCCACCGCCACTAAACAATGATATAACAATTTCTATATATTGCCACCGCCTCTGAACAATGATATAAAAATTTTTATATATTGCCGCAGCCTCTGAACAATGATATAACATTTTCTATATATTGCCACAGCCTCTGAACAATGATATAACAATTTCTATATATTGCCACCGCCTCTGAACAATGATATAACAATTTCTATATATTGCCACAGCCTCTGATGAGGACATTTAGGTGCATGGTGAGGGCATTTAGGTGCATGGTGAGGGCATTTAGGTGCATGGTGAGGGCATTTAGGTGCATGGTGAGGGCATGTAATTGCATGATGAGGGCATTTACTTGGATAAATATTAATATGACTATATTAGGGAGACGATGCCTAAAGATGCTCAGGATAGAGCATCGTAGCATTTACTATGCTACCTACATGTAGGAAATATCATTTTCTTCTTTGGACCGCATACCATCCTTAACCATTCAATAGTTCTTAATTAGAACATATCACTCGCGGCGAACTCTCAAGCGGTACACCCAAACTCTTAACCATAATAATAATTTTTAATCATTAACCATAATAATTTTTTTCTATTATTATTACCTGTTATCGTCATTCTTTCGTACTTTGATTAAATCAACAACAAAGCTTCGTGATCACATTTTGGTACGCAGAATATATCTTAAATTATTTTGTTATGGTTTTCCTCGAGATCATCATGAATTCACTCGCTTAGAAAACTTTAAGCTACCCAAGCTACCTCTCAATATCTTCAATAAAAACGTTTCAGAGACCAGCTCCATCACTACAAAAAGGTGTCATTTTTACATAGCGGTCTCTGAAAAATCTTCATTGAAGATATGATGAGGTGACTTGGAGTTTTCTTTGTTATTGAATCCTTGTGTAGACTAATGCATATTAAGGATATAAATATTTTCCTTGTAGGATTGCTGGAGCTGCCATTGAGGCGAGGATGTGCAGTGACCGCGTCCTAAACTCCTGCTTCTTGAAGATGTAGCGTCGGTGTTCCCTGCCGTCTTCATCAATATCTATGACAGTGAATAGTTCGTGTTACAATCTATAAAAGTAATTATAATGCATGCATAAACTATCTTTAATTACCTTATTGAGCGCTTGACTGTTTTAACCTGAGAAGTTCTGGTCAACATTAATCTATGTTACGAAATTTTATAAGAATTCGTCTACTGAAGTGATGATCACGAAACTAATAACGTGGACTCAAACATTGAGATTTTTGCTAAATTTGAAAATTTTTCGTTCATTCATAAGAAAAATTGTCATGCAAGTAAATAAATCATTCCACGATTCGTGGAAAAATGAGGTTATCAGCAAACAGGCGAATTTCATGAGTTGGCGGGCAAGAAAGAAGCAAAAATAATCATTACAAGAACGAGCAATAATATAACTATTATATGAACGAGCAATATGTTCCACGTGCTCAGGAATGCGGAACGATATGCCACATTTTGCCTTCAGTTTCACACGATACTGTGACAGCAGCGGCTTCATTGACCTTTTCTTTCATCAGAATTATGCACGGTGCCCAAAATAAATTCTTCAGCTCGGTGGCTTGTTTTGATAATAGTATTCTTATATTTTTTTGAAGGGATTACCCAAGAAACCTCATGGCTAAGTTGTTTATGGAATGCCATCGCAATAAAACTTAACATCACACGTGTACATCTTCTTTCTCCCATGACACCGCATAAAGACATATGAAAGATGAGATTTAAAGATAATGTTCCAATCTTCTGATTTAGTACGTTCTAAATTAAGGTTGGATTTTAATTTTACGAATCTTCCAGACTCGACAAGAGTTCACTGGGTAGGTGTTTACAAGAGAAATCGAAGCTTAAGGAGCGTAGCAGTCTTTCCTATTGTCTAGTGACTGATGAATGTGTGGTAAAAGCTTCACGCATCAGTGAGCGTGCTGATTAAAAACAACGAACTCCTTTCCATCCTTAGCACTTGCCTAAGTCTAAGAATCAATTAACTTTTGAGCTCATTCCTCCTTCCGTTACTTAACATTCCATACGCAAAATTGTACAGTATTAGGCAAACGCCGGTGATTCTTGATTCAGTTTAAAGCACATTATTTCTTTCAGGAGACTTTTGCGAGCCATCTTTGATGAGATCCTGGGAATATAGAATATGACAGACAAATCAGAAGTGTAGCGCCTGATCACAATTAGTTCCATGTACAATTAAATCGTCATGTGAACCTCGCGTCTGGCCAAAAGCTGACTTTCATATGCATCGGTTGCAGAAATTTCTCAATGCGAAATTGCAATTTCATTGGAAGGAGTTTCAAGTGAACCCCAAGCGGAGCGGATGAACCAAGTTTGACAAGACACGTGAATGTTCGAGACAAAACCCGTGGACTTATTCACATATGTTGATTTTTTGCTATGTTTTGAGGTGAAAATTACTTGTGTTGTTGCGTTCAAAAATTCGTTGATAAAACAAGTAATAATTGCGACAGTTTAGCTTGTGTATTGCGGCTCTGTATGAGTAGCCAAGATTTAAAACTTGATCTACAGATTCGAATGAGACAAATTGTACATGCCGGAAAATAATAATTCGAACTAATAATGACGGAAAATATAGAGAATAAATTTACAGGGACTTGCATGCCCAGGACGCGACTCTCGCAGCTCTTCATCCAATATTAAGTATAGGTTATTTGTACTTATAATATTATACAGCAATTTGAAGCAATGAATATTGATAACTTTGTGAATTACATGTAACGACTTGTAAGATTAAAAAATAACGATATTTACACTGTAAAATTAAGTGTTTGCACTGAAATTGTTTGTTTGCATTGCCGCGTTTGCACTGATATTCGCAAAATGTTTGTTTGCAGTGTCTTGTTTGCACTGAAATACGCAAGATGTTTGTTTGCATTGCCGTGTTTGCACTGTTCATTTGCATTGCCGTGTTGAAATTAAATTCGCAAGATGTTTGTTTTTATTGCCGTGTTTGCACTGAAATTCGCAAGATGTTTGTTTTTATTGCCGTGTTTGCACTGAAATACGCAAGATGTTTGTTTGCATTGCCGTGTTTGCACTGAAATACGCAAGATGTTTGTTTGCATTGCCGTGTTTGCACTGAAATACGCAAGATGTTTGTTTGCATTGCCGTGTTTGCACTGAAATTCGCAAGATGTTTGTTTTTATTGCCGTGTTTGCACTGAAATTCGCAAGATGTTTGTTTTTATTGCCGGGGCCATTGTTTGGGCCACTGTCAGTGGCCCCAGACGTTTACGTGTGATCGTGAGGTAAAATCGATATCGCCATTTAATTAAATTAAAATCGGTATCGCCATTTAAAGAAGGATACCTAAAACTAAATAAATTAAGCGAAATAATAAGTGAAACAAGTTATCATTAGGTACGCAGGCAAACTATCTATTTCTTTAGGCCAACTATCTAATTCTTCAGGCCAACTATCTATTTCTTCAGACCAATGATCTATTTCTTCAGGCCAACTATCTATTTCTTCAGGCCAACTATCTATTTCTTCAGGCCAACTATCTATTTCTTCAGGCCAACTATCTATTCATAGTGATTATCTATTCACGTCCTTATTTATGAGTCTTTCTGCACATACAAAATGTAACCACGAATTTAGAACCAGCAAAATAAATGAACTAATAGACTAGATATATAACACGGATGGCATAAGATAAATTTAGGAATAATATAAATAAGAATATTCACAAAAACGTTGATAAATACATCACTTAAATAACGCGGATATGACAGCCACCAAGAAATGAACACGACTAATTGACTCACTTATTTACCTCCGTGGTGTTATCGCATATATGAATGACAAGGCATAACAGATTCCTGCGTTAGGTCACGTCAGTGGTGACTAAAAACCAAAACTAGAAATTACTTTCCTAACTTATCTAAATTACTTATCTAATATTTACAAAAAACATTACGCCCCTTACAGTATTGCCGTGTTGGCATTGAAATTCGCGTGGTGTTTTTCGGTATAAGGGTACGCACACAGTGAAAGCAGGTTTGCCTGTGCGGGTAACCTGCTCCAACCTGCCACAAGAATGAACATGGGATAATAATGTAAGTGTTCACAGTGAAAACCTGTACGAATAGGCTTCTGTATTCTATGGTTTCAGGCGCCAGCCTGAGCAGGTAGCCAGCATGCTGGCAACCTGCTTTCACTGTGTGCGTACCCTAATGAAGTAGGAAAATGAGCGCCGTGGCTTCAGCAGCGCTGTATTGATGAAATTTTTATCAACAAATTCACAATTTCAAGAGTTAATGATTTTTCTTGTTCAACTATTGAAGTTTCTAC